CCAGCCATTGTACCTCTCGAACCAGCATCAAAAGTGTTCCATTCAGCTCTTTGAAGGGAGTACTTGGGGAATATTATGCCGCCACAGCTGCTAATTTTGCACACAGCAGGTGGGAAACCACCTTGTTTGAAGGGTATAATGGAAATGGCCAATTGCTCTGTAATATTTTACAACACGGGAAGGTGGGGTTTGTTTGCGGCCAGCACTGAGCATCCATCTCAGAGCATCCACGTAGACACTTAAGATATTTTAAGCAAATACTCAAAGCTGTCGTTCAGTCTTTCCTTCGAAGCTACAGCAAAAGCAGATAAGCCGTTAATTGCATAGGCAGATGGCTACTAGGAAGTGTGTGAGAACTGGCTTCACCATTTTTGTGTAGGTGGAGCTGATTAGATGGGCCTGAATCAAAGAAAAAAAGAAAAAGAAAGGAATGTTTCCTACAACTCTGCCAATTGCTGATCTGCTTTGCTGCATGGTGAGAAAAAAGCTTTTCCTGTGTGACTACAGGAGAAGACAATTCAAAAATAACAGTAAAATTGCTCCTCACTTCCCCACTGAGTCAGCTTACTAGCTAGAGCACTTTGGGGTTTATACATAATTCCTCCACAGCTTCACTGCCAGGCAACAAACACACGGGAACAGGAGAGTAGACACAGTAGGATTTTCCTGGATTTTTTTCCACACGCGTTTGCATGGGTTAAATACATACCCAGGACGCAGGCACTAGAGTACCAGAGGTGCCCACTTCACTATAAGCTGCCACCAAGTTTTAAAATCCCTGTTCGACTGCCATCTTACCTGTAAGCACTATATTTTTTTGGAGGACGACCTCCTCAAAACGCCTAAGCTTCTGCCACTAGACATGTGCAGAACTAAGTCCTAAGGCCACCGACCTATTTACAGCCCTTGCTCATACTAAAGTCTCAGAACAATTCTCAAATGAAGCATTTCTCTGTTTTTTCTTGCCTGCAAGGCCCTACCTCGGACAAAGTTTTAGGGCACCCTTCCTGATTCAGACCTCCCACCAAGGACAGACAAAGCAAGGCTGACCCCTTTCATTAATGCCTTCCACCCACTGGCACAGAGGATGAGGGTGCTTGGTAGACAGGAGACCTGTCTCCAAATCACCATGGCTGACACAGCAAGGCCCTGAGATGGGTTACTCCGCTTCCCCAGCGGGCATCCCCAAGGGAGACAATAGCTCTAGCTGGTCACAGGGAACAGTTTCCACTAGAAATATCACTGGCTTCAAGTCTGTGATCCAGAGTGGGATGTGAAAGCTGGGCTCTTTGAACGTATCACTGAACCATACACGCTGAAGGGCCTCTATGTCTTTACCTCAAGGAAAGGGTGGTTTACACAGTCAATTCCAAAAAAGGGCTCATGACTCAACCCTCTGCAGAGTCCAGCACTCACCTCTCTTCAGCAATCACTGCTGCCTTCTGCAAATCCTGGTTTTTGGTACCTACTTGTCTCCACATTTTTTACAGGGCATCTCGTAGTCTCAGTAAGGGGTAAGACTTCAGCAAGTGAAAGGACACTCAGACCTAGCTGTTGCAGCACCATCAAAGTCCTCTGATGAAAACAGCCCTCGACTTTCGAGGTGTCTAACTTCTTCCCATACAGTTGTTGCCTGCCTTATCTTATAGTACGTGTTACTTCATCAGGACAGGGACTGTTTCTCCATGGGTTAGTAGAGTACTTACCACAATGGGCTAATGAAACTTATTGTTGCTACTATAGTGCAAACTCAAAATTGCAAAACAATGCTCCAAAATCAACTAACTATACAAAAATAAAAAGCAGAATTTGAAATATCCCTCCACAAGTTACATCTACAGATGCAAAGCAACAGCATTTTAAGATATCTGTGCAAGACTAAATCTTCACCTATAACAGGATTCTTGAAGAAGCTGGACTCAAAATTGTATTTGAAGCAGATACATAACTTGGCTGGTCAAAGGCAATTTCAAATACTATTATCAAAAACCTTATCTAGGGAAAATCATTACCATCATATTGCACTACTGTCAATATAATGCTCAAGACAACAATTTATTTTAATTTATTATCTTCATATCACAACCAGAGAGACAGCTAATAGGGGGCAGAGATATCCCCCAACATTGTTGGACACTGTGAGGCTGACACAGTAGAAACAGGCTGCCCCCAAAAGGCCAAATCTCAAAAGTGCACCAACCTGAGATGGGTTTCAGTCCGAACCAGTAGTCAGCACTGAACTGGGGTGGAAGGCAGCTGCTGAGAGCCCTCGAGAACAGCTCTTGCCCTTTATTCACGTCTGTGTTATTTCACTGATAGCATCCTACTTACTGTCACTTTCACCTTAAATCAAGACTCGCAGCAACAATCAAGAGCAGACAGTCAACACAATATCAGAAAATTACTGTATCAGGTTTTGGCCAGTCAAGTTCTCATCTTCCCTTACAACGTACTTATCTAGCTTAAAAATATATATATATTAAAACAGAGGCATCTTCTCCATTTTTGGGACTTGGGACATTTTGCATCCAAAGTTTGTATTGCAACTACTGATGCACACATTCAAGTCATTAAGAATGCAACGGATGGACACAGACCCCATCACACTTCTCGTGAAAGATCCTGAAGCAATTATTTATGGAGGTGGCTCAAATTAGCGCTTAGACTCTCCCACCCCCCGTGCCTTTACTTGTACTATATTTCTCAGTAAAATGAATGCTTTTTTATATGCTAGACTCCACGGTTATCTCAGTTGAGGAAACCAGATGAGGAGGTGAATATATTCTTTGCTGTACGCGAGAACTGGAAGGGGTTTCGCTATTCACCGCGGCCCTCCAGTTACCGCCTGCTGCCACCCTCCAAGCGGAGCTAAGGAATGTCGACCATGCTTAAATGGAGTCGAAAATTATATAGGGAGCTGAGTCCACGTGGTAAGCCACTAGGCATGAAAATTATGGTAATTGGGCCTTGCAGGAATTCAAGGGGGCACGTAAGGCCTGAGAAGGTACCAAATTAGGGAGCAGCTGGTCTCTACAGCAGGCCTTCACAAAAAAAGTCATACTCTGTACTTCCGTGCTGCTCTACTTGTGAGCTGTCAGCAGAAAAGGAGGATACTTGAAGTTGCTGGAGTTCTTTGCCAATAACTGGTGCTGTCTGAAAGTACTTCTCCACTAGGGATGGACAGGGAGCTGGAGCATGGCGATCTGTTCCAGCTGTACCTAGTAGGTGTGTGAGCTCTGCAGGAGGAGAGATCTGCACCTACCGCTGCTCTGCTTCCTCACAACTGCTAAAAGCAATGTTGAAGAAGAGAAGGAATGTGCAACATGTAAGTAAAGAACATATCAAGAACTCAAAAAATGAGGAAAAGAGAAAGACAATGCAAAAAGCAACAGCCATGTTCTTTCCCATGGAGAGTAACACCACCGCAGAGCCAAAGGGCAGCCCTAAGAGCTGCCTGGACCCAAGTAAAACACATGCATGATCATAAGGAAGTAGATAAAGTAGGCAGCAGTTTGTTGCTCCAGACAACACACACCAATGTCTCTCATTCTGAAAAGCAAGAGGTGGCTTGTCGCACTGTGATTTATTGCTTTGCTACACTTGGTAAGAGTAACAACCCAAATCCTGGGCTAAAATTGAAATGAGCAAACGTTTTGTCAGGATTTCACCTAATTTGTCTGCAATTTAGGTGGGCAGTAAGCTTTTACGATGTCCTTAGCTACTCACATTTCTCTGTTTTTTAAATGTCTGGAATTTTGTAAATGTGTTCTTGGCAAACACAAGAGTGTCATGGGAACCATAACTGCTTTATAAATAAAGTGTTCCACTTTTGGATAGTATAGCAGAATTGCAGTGAAGGAAACCACAGATTCTAGAAAACGGAGCATACAGTCTGTGAATCACAATAGCCAAATAATGTTCCTGATTCAGCTTGACATCAGAAGACCCTTCTCACTGTTACATTATGAATCTTAAAGCTATTTTTACTGCATAATTCTAGATTTATGTAGAGTCCTACCATTACAAAAATTTTTACAATTTTGACAATGTTTACTCTTTCTTCCCAGATGTAAAATGTCACAGGATGCAAGTCATACTAATTTATTTGTTTAGGTATGAAATTTAAGATACATAAACCAAAAAGGACAAAATTAATGAATTAATGAAAAATGTTCATAAATGTTTTTATAAACAATCCTTTTCTTGCATGCAGAAGTTTCACTGCATAGGTTATAGCTCAAAAACTGTGCCACTGGGCATGAAAAGGGAGTGGCCGTAAACAAAAATTAAGCAAAAAACGAAAATAAAATGGAGGCATTCTTCTCTCAAATCAAATAAATGCATTTTGTTGCATATTATTCAAATTTAGCAGTGAAAGTGAAATATTAAGCTTACAGTTCATTTTTGAAAATCTAATCTACACTGGTAGCAACTTGTGTGATCTCTAATTCTTTTTAATTGTAATTTGCAGAATATACATTAACGGAAAAAGCCTGCTGTAATTGACAACAGTCCTCATCCTCTGACATACTTAAGTATCCAAAGCACATAAGGTCTGTAGAAGCATGAGACGATCTGAATTGTTTGTTTAACACAACTAAGTAACTATGATTGCAAGGGATTACAGATTATTTAATACAGGTTTCTCTATTGAAAAAAAAAAGTCTTAAATAAAATGTCTAAATTAATTTAATAACAAAACCCAGAACTACTATTGCTCCTAAGGCATCATACTGAAAGACAATTGCAGGCTGTTACATTTAGGTATGTTCCAGTTACACTCCCAAGGTGTCTACTGTCTATTTTTACAATATTCCTAGAAGGGATTCCACACAAACCCCAAGTCTGACGTCTGGTTTGGAAAATAGCACAGAGCCTTTTCTGGAGGTCCTGTAATCTATTCATGCCAGAAAGGGGTCATTTTCATTTCCCACATCTAAATATTGCAGCAAACCATGTGTGCATCATGTTACGTGAGAATGAACATCATTCCAACCTCATCAACTTCCAAATGTTTCTTTATTCTTTCACCATTCAAAACAGGTAATTCAGAAAGCTCTATTTTGTTCGCCTACAGCCGCCTTCTTAAAGTACGAAACCCAAACATGTTCCTGAACAAGCACTCAACCAGCTTTCCCCTCTCTAGCTTCTATTTGTTTTTCCTGCATCAGTTCTTCCTCCTTCCTCTTGTGAAGCTTTAGAAGATACTCGTCAGGTTCAATTCCCGCCTCCCTTAACTCTGACATGGCTTTCTCCAACCGGTGCAACGTACGAGCACTTTGCACTTTTCGAGTAGTGATATATAATGTAAATTCCTTGAAACCCATCAGTTTACAGGTGTCCACATCACAAATATTTTTGACATCTTTGGTTTTGTCCACCTGGGGGAAGAAAACCAAACCTGACATTTTTTCCAGGTCTTCGATATTTACTTGGAACTCAGTCAGTTGGTGACTGAAGCCTACAGGATCATTGGGCACCACAAAAGCCCCCAGGACCAACGGCTCTGTGGTTGCTCTGCTCCGTCTGGCAAGGATCACTTTGTAGAGGTGGGATGGCACAGCTACATCATCCTTTCCAATTACCTAGGGGAAGAAAAGTTCTGTTATAGATACACTCATGTATCCAACTGTTCTCATCAGTTAGGGGATGGGGGTGGGGGGAATGAGCTAGACTAATCCCACCATCTCTTAAACGGAGTCGCAGCATGTAACTATACACATCAAAATCACGAGCAACGCATCAGAGCAACCACAAGCTGAGACAGAAACACATTTCATCGCAGCTCCTTCTATAGCTGCTGGGGACTGAGCTGGTCGTCGATATCCAGATCTCTCTCAAACAGGAAGAGCAGGGCAGAGAACAGAGAAGTAAACTGCAGGATTGTTTGGCCACTGTCAGTAGGAGAGGCCCAGAGCCTTCTGGGAAAGTTTCTCCCATAACACAACTAACTTCCTCTTTGACTGTTCAAAGGAATGATACAGACAAAAGGACAAAAGATTAGTCAGAAATTGCCCAACTACCCGTAAAGATCCGGGACCAATTACTAAGAAAGTAGTAAGAGTGAATTCAACTTAAACTTCTCAAGCACAGGAAAACCAGAGTCACTTCAGTTACAGCTGAAACTGAACCGGAATCAAATCCGAAAAACATATTTGGAAAGAGAGATTCAGCCAAGACCTCAGTTCCCTAATCCTCTGGTGCAGATCTGTAAACAAAGCTGACATGAAGGGATGGTAGAGGTCCTTGTCGTACTGCACCACATTGTTAACACTTTGAAAGCTCTTTTCAATAACAGTGGCCCTACACATTTCACTTTAAATCCTTATTTGACAGCTCCAAATTAGGTGCTTTCAACATCCATCTTAAAATCAATTCTAGCTTACTTATCAGTTATTTTTTGTCTTTATTATCCATGTACATACTGTATTTAAAAGCTATACTACCTAAGTAAGCATTTTGATGAGGGGACCCAAACACAAAAGTACATTTAGTGACTCAGTATCTTGAAAGAGAGAAGTTGATCCATAGAAAAGGCATAACTTGATGCATGTATCTATTCCATGTACCAATTCGTTATAATTCAACTTAAGAGCTTGCATATGTTGGGTTTCCTGCTGTGTCACTCAGACCAGAATCCCAGTTTTGAAGCACTAGAAGAGGACGACCAGGACATTGAACTCATTTAAAGCTTGTAATAAGCTCACACATACATGTATACAGTAGACACCCCATCCTGTGTCAAGAATTAATCTGAGGGAATATACCATTTTATGATGAATACCATAATCGTTCCCCTGCCAGTACTCAAATAAATGACACTCCTGCATGCATCTTAAGTTTCTGTTGAAATAGCATTGAGCTTATCTGCTGTGCTGACAAAGCACAACAGGCTCACACACAGAAAACTTGAGTCTTGCTTAACTCTTCTGTATAACTACCTTTCTAAAATTGCACTTTTATTCCAATGGCAACAGAAGAAAAAGATGCAGACGCTCTACAAGAACTATACCAGGATCTTGTTTTATTAATAACACACAGTATTTGAGTACTATGTTCAGGGTGTGTAATACCTGCAAAAGCAGTTTTGATTTTGGATAGCTGTTGTTAGATACCTGCTTTCTCTGAAACCGTATTTTAACTATATCTGTTTGACTGCCACAACTGATCAAATTAATTACAAGTACTTTACAAACTAATCTGCTAGATCAGTTCAGACATGCTTTGTCCAGTTATATATTCTGTATAACTCAAGTACAGAGGAAACTTCTCCTATGTATGCTTTATTCAGAGGGTATTCAGCACTTCTGCAAAAGACAATGCATTTATAAAGCCAAACTTTGCCCGTGGCTACTGAACCAAGGTTCACTTTGTTTATTCCCAATAGTTAACTCATTCCAGTTATGAATTCTTACGGTGCTTGAAGTGTGCCCTCTCTCTCTTCTGACAGGTCTTACAGTTCTTTAGGCCTGACTGGTTAGACTAAGCCAGAGAAAAGTGTCTTTAGGAGAAAAGGAAACCTCTGGTAAAGAGTTTTTTTTTTCCCCTCTTCTCTCTCTCTCTCTCTCTTTTCCCTTCCACCCTTTGAGCAGTAATGTAGTAGTAACATTACTGTTCTAGGAAACATTTACTCTTAGATTTGTTTATTCTGTTACCACAAACAGAGTATTTTCCTCTCCTTCCCTAAACTGGGCTATTTAACAGCACTGATGTATCACCTTGCTGTTGTTTACACCTCTCTACAAAAGTGATCTGGCTTGTGCCACCAACCTTCTCCCAAATAAAACCCTGCCTAGAAATATAACAATCATTGAAATAGGCAAGCAGTTCCCTAAATAAATGCCTTACGTTAAAGTTACTTTCCCTTTCAGCAAGGGCAGATGTCTTGATAGGGAAATTGGAGCTCCTGAGTGTCGAAGCACTTTGCATTTAGCATTCAGTGTTAGTGAAACCAGAGTTATAGCTCCCAGGGATCAAGAGCATAAATAATCAAAACTGACTGATGTACAGGTAATTTTAAAATATACTGAAAACTACACATCAATCCACTGCTATATCTAGCAGCTTAAAATTGAATTATAAAGTGAAGGGTGTTGGAGCTGAACCTGGTTGAGATGCTGGCATTCAAACCAGAAAGGACACGCAATGTATTGGGGGTGAGGAGGAGGGAGTTAAGAAGCACAAAAAGCCCTGGGGGCAGGGAGAGGGGTTCATATTCCCATATGTACCCAAGCACAGGCAGCGGGTGATATCATTGAAGGCCAGAGGCTGTTGCTGCTTTCCTCCCCTTGGAGGACGGCATTTACAGCTCACACGCTGTGACCCCAGCTACCCAGCACTGTGCTGCTAAGGCAGAGCAGAGCAGAGGGAAGAACCTGCACGTGGCTGTGGGGCACCCTGAAGCTGCTCTAGCCCCCAGAAAGACGTCAGTAGTGAGCCTAAACCCTGTCTGTAAGGTTTCCTGGGGCTCACAAGCTCCTTATCCACAGCATTCCTGTGCAAGATGTCCCACACTTCCTTTTGCAGGCTTTTTCATGTACTTTTTTTCACTTTAAATACATATATACATCCTTGGACCTCCTTACCTCTGCTCCCGCCCTTCCTCAACACCTCCTACACACATACACACACCAGCATCCTGTCTTTCGTATAAAAGACGAGAGGAAGGGTGAACATGCAGATGGAGCTGCTACAAGTAGCTCCAATTAGGGGCTATATGGCATATGTAAAACAAACAGGTGAATGTGCGTTGAGTGAGCTAGCAGAGGGAACAGGGGATTGAGTCTGAGAACTGAGTGGGTGGATAGAAAGGCTGGGGAATGAATAGAGCAGTACGTAGAATAGTTAGGTATGAAATGGAAACGCTGAATGCTTGGAGTGGGCGTTAAGGGAAAACAGACCCTATGCTTATGTAATATTATGCAAATATATATATATTCTATGCAAAATAATGTATTTATGCATAGTATATGCTCCCATGAAACAGAGAAGGAAAGACGAAAAGAGAAGACTTTCAAAAAGAAGGAAGGGTTGGTTTTTTGAGAAATGTAATTCTAAATACAACTCACTCTATACAGGCAATGGCCATACATGTAATTTATGCACAACTTCAGTTCCACGTAAGCTCTCTTTTGAGGGATTAAACAAATTTAAATAGTGCATAGGCATTATTCTAGTCCTCTGAATAGCACTAAACAACTTCTGCAATTACTTTACCGAGGTCTAGTACTGTTACAGTGATTAAAACAAATTTCAGCCAGCCAAAATGATCAGAGTCCACAACAGTGTTGTTCTTTTAGACAAAACGGTACTTAAAAGCTCTATCCCCCAGCTCGTTCTGCTCAAGGATAATACGAGTGGAGACTAAAGGAGAAAAAAGGAGGGTGTCCTAGCAGAATAAACATCAGTGACAAAGCATATGTCCTCCTCTTCTGCAGTTTAGAACTGGTGCGAACCACGCACAAGATGCATCACCAACAATTTAGGCAACTAGGGTGATCCAATGATTATTGTTAAAAAGAAACGTACTCCTGGACAAGCTATAGTACTTTCATTATTATACTCTCTAGTATACCACGACTGCTTTTCTAGCAGAGTAGATACAGAAGCTGCTGATGAACGCTCCCACACTGCCGCCCTACAAAGCCAGCATAACGGCCAGGAAAAGAAGTAAAGCATGAAGTGAAGTCAGCAACAGAAGCACCAGGCAGTAAAAATTCTGCAATTCATTTCCTATTGCCACCTAGAGGATTTTCCTACCTAACTAGAGAAGTATGAACCACTACTGTGACCTGCACCATCGCATTTATCTCAAGGCATGCCTAACAGAGGCAGCTAGCATATGCCCCTATTGTAACAGAACAGAAAACAGGTCAAGATTATCTGTGGGCAGATGTTGACTTTGATTTGCACTAGTCAATCCACAGACAGAGGCTGATCTTTCAACAATCAGTGCCTGCAAGAGCTATTTGTCTCAGCTGGAGAGAAACAGTTTTTAATAATACCTGTGACTCAAATCTCAGAGACAATACAAGTCAGAAAATACAGCATTGTCTACTGAAAATCATTACTATTCCAGATGCTTTCACACCACGTTGAAGACAGGACAGCAGGTAAGTTTTTGCCTTGCCTTTTGAAAGTTTCCATTTTTCTATTCTTATAAAAATCTAAAAATCTTTTCACATTTTCAACAGCCTCAAAAGCAAAAATATACACTTGTCCTAAAAGTCTTCTTTTTACTGCATCAAACATATTCCTTTCCCATCACTATTTGCAATATCAATGTGAAATTTCAAATATTATTTTTCTTTTGCTGTCCGTATTAGTTCAGCATAAAAATATTAATTGCTCTTACACTTCAGAGTTCACTATTCCATTTACTTTTGCTTTGCTCTTGTTTTGTTCAGTGAACTGGCACTAGTTGAAGCACTATGACCGAACTTGTGTTATCTAATACTGCAACATTATAATTATGTTATTTTCAGCAGTGTTCTTTTTGTTTTTTTAAGTATCGACATTCATACACAGTACTTTATTCCACAAGTACGTATAAGTGTGTTACTCCTCGATGTCCAATTAAATGTGG